CTTATCACTCTCGTCACCGTGCTGACGTCGCCTACTTGCCCGGTTTCGCTTTGCCAGGTTCTGGTGCTGCATACACTGCTGGATAACGCGTGTGGTGTCTAATGTGCTCCTAATTGCCAAAGTGATCTGAGCGGGCTCCATGCTTGCCGTGGTATGGCGTATGCACAGAAAAAAGACGCAGAACGACTGTCTGCCGTTGCCCTGACGGAAGGAGGGGCGACTGACGACATGGCTTACAGGACTGGCTTACAGGGAATTAAAATCAACAAAGGGGGTGGCTTTGCGAGAAACAGAATGGCCCGCTCAAGGATAGAACTCAAAACCTCAAGGATAGGACACAAAACTGGGTTTCGCAGGCCGTTGATTTCACGGAGGGAGGGATGGTGGAGAAAATTAATACAAAACAAATCTGGTCTATTTCTCGTTTTGATCCACTTCATCTATCTTTATACATCTTGCTGGCAGCAGACTGTGCAGTACGACGGCTAGCCATTGTCATCTCCTGGGTGCTCAGCAGAAGACGGTGCAGTATGACTGCTGGCCATCATCTTCTGCTGGCTGCTGATTAAAAGACAGTGCATGCCAGTAGGACTGAATCATCATGAGATGAAACTTAAAAGGGAAATGACCTGGCTGGGTCACTCCCATGTTTGCCCAGGTGCCCCTAACCTCATTGAGGTCAGTTAAAAGAGCACCCAGGACTACGTCGACGACGGCTACCAGTCATACTTCACTATCTGCTGCCAAAAGGCAATAAACTGCTGCTCTGTAGCAATGCAGTACCGCATCTGCCAGCACCCAGGAGACATATGGTGATGGTTAGCTGAGCGGGCTCCATGCTTGCCATGGTATGGCGTCTGCACAGGTAACCCAGGAAAAAAGGCGCAAAACAATTGTCTGCCATTGCTTACACAGAAGGAGGGAGGGAAGGGGGGGCCTGATGATATGTACCCAGAACCACCCGCGACAATGTTTTAGCTCCATCAGGTACTGGGATTTCTACCCAGAATTCAAATGGGCGGCGGAGACTGCGGGAACTGTGGGATAGCTACCCACAGTGCAATGCTCTGAAAGTCGACGGTTGCCTCGGTACTGTGGACACACTCCGCCGACTACATGCACTTAGAGCATTTGTGTGGGGACACACACAATCGACTGTATAAAAACGCTTTCTACAAAACCGACTTCTATAAATTCGACCTATTTTCGTAGTGTAGACATACCCACAATATAGAAGAGTTTACAATCTAAATAGACAAGACAAACACAGAGTGGAGGAAGGGGTAGAACACAGCAGCAGAGTGAACAATGTGATGGCAGCAAACAGCATGTTAGTTCCACTGGTTTTTTTGGGTGTGGGGGGGAGTTACTTAAGAGGGGATCAGCTAAATAGAAAGACAAAGGAAAGGAAGAGAAGTGACGGGGACAGGACAAGGGAGAAGAGGGCAAAATGGGGAGATGTGGCATGAAGTCAGGTGAAGAGACTGTGAGGGAAGGGGAGAGGGCTGGAACAAATAGCCCATCAGCACAGGGCACAGAAAGTCCAGTCAAAACAGTACATTATCTCAGGATATGTCTACACTGCATCTAAACACCCACGGCTAGCCCGTGTCAGCTGACTTGTGCTCCTGGGGTTCAGGCTAAGGGGCTGTTTAATTGCGGTATAGATATTAGGGCTCAGACTGGAGCCCAGGGTCTGGAACCCTAGAAGGTGGAAGGGTTCCAGAGTCCGGGCTCCAGCGTGAGCCAGAACATCTATACCACAGTTGAACAGCCCTGTAGCCCAAGCCCTGCAAGTCCAAGTCAGCTGACACAGGCCAGCCACAGGTGTTTAACTGCAGTGCAGACATACTGTCAATGTCCAGTGGTCCATGCTTTGGATGTTTCTGCTTCTATCAGCTGGAGTCTGACTCGCTCCTCTCTGCAATTTTTTCCCCCTTCTCCAGGAATGGGGAGGTACAGGTGCAATTTCCACTGAAATCACTGATGTACAACCCATGCAATCCCACTGAAGTCAATGAGATGGCATGAGATGTCAGTCAGCACTGAATTTGTCTCTCCTGTATTATATTTTTCAAAATAAAAATTGCTTTCTCAGTATAAATGAAATAAATGAACAATAATTAACAGAGTGCAAAAGAAAGAAAAATTAAAAGGATTTTAAACTTTATGAAAAATGTTTTGAGAGTGTCCTTTTAAATAGCCTCTGTAGTCCTGCTGTCCAACTAGTTTCACTTTGCATTGGCTGCCTGCACATCTAATTTACCTTTCAGAGGATGCTACAGAGGAGTGTAGTTAAAGCAAAGGATGTTTGACATATTCATTTGCAACACACACATTATAATCCCCCCCCCCCACATCCTTACAGTCACAGTATCTGAGTCTCTTCATGGACACTAGGTGGCCTAGTGGAAACGTAGTTGTTTAAGAACATTTGCTTGGCAAGCTGTCTACGTTGGCTTATGTATTTCTTTTCTTGTCGAGTCATGATTTAGCACCAATTAACGGCGTGATTAAAATGAAGCACAAAATGAGACCCAAAATTAGTTTGGTTTGTTTGAGGTTATAATCTTATTGTGTTAATAGCTCTGAGGTGGCCAGTTGTTCTTCAAGGTCAGGAATGAGTTTATTAAAACAATGTAAATGGGCCAAATGGACCCATGAAGTCCTTCCTCTGAAACACCTGCATGCTTTCATTTTAGAGTTATTTTACAGAGATTAAAATCTGCCTCATCAGTTACATTTCTTTGGTCTTAATTTTCTTCTGTACACAGTGTTGGTATGTAACACCATATTTATCATCCAAGTGAGGATGAAAGATTCAAACAGATCTTGCAAAGGCAGAGCTTCCAATTCCTTATAGAGAGCTCTTTCTTCCTGGCCAGGCCAAATACAATCTTCAAAGAGCCTTCTATTTGTCACCTGTCTGAGCAGCAAGGGGCTCTCTCTCATTTCTTCCTGTGAGGTGTATGGGGTGGAGTGTGTAGAGAGTGAGCGAGCATGTGCATGCGTGTGCAGGAATGGATGGAAGCAATGGATGTTCATTGTGAATGGTCTTGTTTTGGGAAGAGAGAGAGAGAGGTTGGCTGATTGCTGCTTTGCTAAAGCTTAGCTCTTTGATACCATCACTTGCAATTGCTTATTCCTGAAAAGCAAAGCTATGGGAAATTAAACAACTCAGACAGTGCTGTTTCTGTCAATTTAAAAACAGCAAATACCATGTCTTCAGGAATTAGAAATCAAAGACTGTAATCTGTAATTACCTGCTAGGGTAATACACTGGTTGTTTTCTTCAGCTAAAGGGCTTCAGTCAACACCTGCTTGTGTTTGATGTGCTCTGGTTTTTGATTGTCCTAAAACTCATGGTATAACTTTGGCAGGCAAGCCAGACTGATGGATTTTTTTTTAAAAGGAGCATCCCAGCTTTATAAGCACCTTGCAAACTGGAACAAAGTATATTTTCTTAAAAATACCTTTTCCCTTGGCCAATTAATCTTCAGCTGTCCCTTTCTCCAGCACTTGAAATGTATACATCAAACATATTTCAGCTTATGACACATTCTAGAAGGATTTCATAAGTGCATTTCCCCGGCCCTTCCCACCTTCTCCTCTTCCATGACATTTCACGTCTGGTAAATCTTGGAATTGGGAAATATGATCCAAGCTATACTGGCAGTGGGTGAAGTCACTTGCTTATAAAACTCCTAAACAGTTGTTGTTATCTTGTAGCTCTTTTATTATCAAGAGATCACCGGTAGGAAATGGCTTCATCATTGTTTTTTAAAAAGACCTGTTTGTTTATGTGCTCTCATCAATTGTCACAACACCATAGATGTATGGGATACCCTAGGAAGTGAATTTCAGTAGAAACAAAAGGCAACAGCTCTGGAATGGCTTGACTGGATTTTGATAGACCTAAAAAAGATCGAATAACTAAACCTTCGACGAGGAAACACGCAACAATTCAATTTTCTATTATAATTAATTCTCCCCATCTTCAAATTTAAATGAACCCTATAAAATAAGGCCCTGCTAAAATAAAAAAAATATGCTGTTTTCTCAGGGCCCTATTTTACAGAATCAATTTTCAATTTGGAGATGTTATCATAGGGATGAATTCTGTTCTGTTCTCTTTCACACAGATGCAATTCCCATTGAAGTCACTGATGAAAAATATTCACAATCTCATTCTGTGCTATTTAATGGATAGATGATCTTAAATACAACATCGCTCCTGCTTACTTGATTCTTCTAAGAATTCACTTGACAAAAATGTTTTTACATAATTTTGTTTTCTCATAGCAAATCAAGTTTAAGAGATTGCTGGGAAATTTTTTAAACAAGGCCATGCTTTTCTTCTTTCTGCATAACACATAGGATTCATAACCATGACTGAAAGATTAAGTTTTCAGAGTCAGAAGTCTAAAAACAAATCTGTATTTTGTATTCAACCCTACAGTAAGCACGTTGTACAGTACACTGCGATGTCTTCTGTTATTAAAGTCCCGTGATCCTACCCTCATTTTGGATTCTGACAAATGTATTCTTCTTTCATATCTCTAAATCCTCAATCATTTTCAGAGCAAATATTTTTTGGACTTGCATTTTAAAATGTAATGGAAAACTACCCACAGGGAACTGAGCTGAGAGCACCCAATCCTTTGCACTGGAGCAATGAGCTATAAATTGATTAGGTAAGATCCTTGTTCTATGTGCAAATGCAGCTCCAAATGTTAAAAACAATTAAAAAAATCCAGCACTGCAACAGAGCATCTCCGATTGTCAAGGAAAAAGTAAACCATGCCTCATACCTTCTGAATACCTGTTGGTGACTCCAGCACATTATTCTCTGAGCCGTTACTTCTGTTAATCATCCGCCACATCTGAGAATACATGCTGTCCCTCTCAAAAGGATTCATCCCCTTCACTCGAACATGCTCATAGACTGCAGAGTCCAAGACAGTGCCATAAGGAATATCCGTCTGCCTGGAGAGATCCTGGAGAGACCTTAATTGGTGGTGAAGAAAAGAGACACAGGGACATGATTCCGCATTTCCAAGCTGAACGGGAGCTGCAGGCAAGCAAAGGGCAACACATAGGAAGACAGCTGCCAAGTAACTGTTTTGTTTGTTTATTTTCTTAAAAGACAAAATAAGACTAGGAGAAACAGAATTGCTTTTATGCTTTAAGACAGAAAGAAAAATGTGAAGCCAAAGTGAAGGGGGGAAATGAGATTGAAGGAAAAAAAGAGAACATTCCAAGGAATAAGAGTGTGCTCTCAAGAGATGGCCACTTTCTTTTGTGGGGCAAAAGGGAGTGTTTTTAGCCACTCCAACAAATATAAAATAAATCAGATAAAAGCCTGGTAATAGCCTGAAGCAATGGACCTCTATTTTACAAATTGCTGGGGACTCGCAGACTGAAATCAGAAAGGTCAGAAAAAGAGCTCAATGTACATAGCCCTAGGCACCAGGCCCAGGCATTATTTGGAGCTGGCATGTTAAACACCAGAAAGCAGCTGTCTCTGTTGGTATGTACTGCAGCAAGATATACACTCAGCATGGACAGTGGTGCAAGTAAGCCGGTCCAGTCAGGTACACCATACCATTAAGACATTTATTGCTGGTACGCCATACTGGAAAGACACATTTTCAAGAATTTTGTAGAGCCCTGGGCAGATACAAATTTATTCCCGTGGATGTGGATATCTGCAGAGAGAAATCGGTATCTGCTGAACCGCAGGGCTCTCCTGGGAACCACAGCGATGAAAGGAGCAGAACATGGGGCTGCTGCTCCTCCAATGCAGTTGTATGGCCCCCAGCCCTGTCCTTCAGTGGGGCTGTACAGACCCCAAGAAGGAGACGCAGCTGTGTGGAAGGGCTGGGGATAGTACAGATGCATCCTGGGAGCAGCGGCCCCACGTTCTGCTCCTTTCTCCGCTGTAGTTCCCAGGAGAGCCCTGCGGTTCAGTGGATACAGATTTCTCTCCATGGATATCCGCTCAAGAGACAGAACATTTTTTTTGGGGGGGGCGGACCAGGGGGGGAAGGGAGGTTCGGTACTGTATCGGTAAGAATTAAAATCTACTTGCATCTCTGAGCACAGAGAGCAGGTTAAGAATAGACTGGGAATGCTGCATAGCACCATTTTCAGAAGCTGGAGACTTTTGTTCTATTTTTATGTGCTGCCACTTCTTTGAGTTCACAATAAATTTGCTCAGTTTGATAAGATCTTTAGCCTTATCCACTCTGTGTGTGTTTGTCTATGAGTATATATACACACACAAAAGCTAATTTATATGTAAACTAATGTAGGGGGTTCTATAGGTGTCCACATTATGTCTTTATCTGCCCTGGCCTTAAAATGATTTCGTTATGATCCCTTCAAGGCTCCAGACATGACCTCTTTGCCTCTGTTTATTCATCCTATTGTACCACTTAACCATACCTTGATTTCTTTAATGACATTCATTAGAGGTTCGGAGGGACTGCTGTAATATATCTAACACTGACGACCCATTAAGGCTTTTGCTGGCACAAATTACCTTTATGTAACTGCACAAATCTAATGGATGACATTTAAGGACAAATAAAAGATCTCTCTGTGTGCAGCCTTAAACTAGACCAGAGGTTCTTAAACTGGGGGTGGGCTGCCCTGGGGGAGGGGCATAGAATATATTGGGAGGGGGGTTATGAGCAGCTTTAGTGAAAACAAACAACAACATACTGTGCACATTTTACCCACAGCAGTGAATAACTTGCAAAGCTCATTCCTCCAGACATATCCAGTCCTCAGATGGCACTGTGCATTTGACTCTAGATGGTGCTGTGCATTTTGATGGATTTCATAGCATTATACAAAGTCATCGCCATGTGTACGTTAATCCGTTTTCAAGGATGCAGTCTGCACATTTAATTGTAAGCACTGATCACACTTGCAGTTTTGGTTTTGCTCTTATTACATTGGCTCTGTTTGAACCAATGCCTTGCTGTTTTTAATATTTAGTGAGTGTTGCATGTTGATTTTTGTTATCGGTATATGTACTTGTGTGGTGGTGAGGCCTAAACTACTACGACACAAAGAAGGGGGCACCATGAAATACATTTGAGCGCCACTGAAATAGACAATGGCAAACTGCAAAGATCCACCTATAACCACTCAAAATGGAAACATGAACCTATGATACTCAAAGAGGATGGAGCAAGGCTATTCTCAGTGGTGGCAGATGACCGAACAGGGAGCAATGGTCTCAAGCTGCAGTGGGGGAGGTCTAGGTTGGATATTAGGAAACACTGTTTCACTAGGAGGGTGGTGAAGCACTGGAATGGGTTACCTAGGGAAGTGGTAGAATCTCCATCCTTAGAGGTTTTTAAAGCCCTACTTGACCAAGCCCTGGCTGGGATGATTTAGTTGGGGTTGGTCCTGCTTTGAGCAGGGGGTTGGACTAGATGACCTCCTGAGGTCTCTTCCAACCCTAATCTTCTATTGTTCTATGATTCAACAGCCTCCAAGCGGCACATTTGACATACGTAAAAGAGAAGGGTATTCAAAAAGGCCCTGAAGACAAAAATCAAGGAAATAAAATCCTTAGAAGTGGCAGGGATGCTACTTAAGAAAACAATAATAATCTCATAAGGCATGTGTAATGCTGAACAAAAACAGAACCAGGAAAGCAAGAAGTAAATCAATGGGTATGTCCAAACTGCACTAAGCCTCGTGTCTCCAAGAGAAGTGAAGTCCAGAGAGGACCATGAAGAACTTCAGAGGGATCTAACCAAGGTAGGTGAAGGGACAACACAATGGTAAATGAAGTTCAGTGTTCATAAATGAAAAGTAATGCATACTGGAGTGAAAATGTTAAACTATTCATACACCTTAGAGGGTTCTAAATTAACAGTATCATCTCAGGAAAGGAACTTGGGCATCTCTGTGGATAGCTCAAAGTAGAGCTCAATTCAATATGCAGCTGTGATCAAAAAAGGAAACAAGAAAACAAGATATTAGGGAGTTAGGAATGAAAAATAATAGAAGAATATTATAATTGTAATTGCTTTATATAAGTCAATGGTACAGCTTCATCTGATAATCACCCCATCTCAAAAAGAATATTGCAGAGTTAGTGTGGATCCAGAGAACGAAATGCTTGAGAACATAGAAAAGCTCTCATATGAAGAGAAATTAGAAAGATTGGGATTGTTTACTTTAGAAAGGAAATGAATAAAGAGAGGACATAATAAAAGTATATAAAATATGGAATGGTCTAGAAAAGGTAGATCAGGGACTTCCATTCTTCCTGTCTCATAAGAAAAGAAGAAGCTATTTAATGAAATTAAAAGGTGGAAAATTCAAAACCCATGACAGGAAATACTTTTTCACACAATACATCACTAGAACAGTGGAACATGGAACTCTTTGTTACAGAATGCTGCTGAGGCCAAAAAAACAAAAAACCCGTAACAAGATTCAACTAGGGAGTGGATATTTATATGGATAAAAAGAATATCCAGTTACAATATTTAATGTTTGCATACATTTTGGAAGAGCTATTAAATCTCATGCTTCAGAGTTTAAAATAATCTCATTATGTAAGGATTAGGAGGAGACCTAAAATGGGGGACCCATTATCCTACATTTGCCTAATGCAAGTTTTCTAGCACCTTCCTCTGAAGCATCTGTTGCTGGCCATTGTCAGAGACCGCATATTACACTAGATGAACCATGGGTCTGATCCAGTTATCAGGTCTTGTTTTCATTAACAATCCCATAGTACTTTCCCTAAGAAGAGGGACTTTTAGCCTGGTGTCCTAGATGAGAATTTTCTCTCCCTACCACTGTCATCCAGTGGTAGATGCACTTCAATGATGTTTTAATGTATATAATCCATCAAAAGCTTTGGCATAATTGATGAAAGGCACTACATAACATTTAAGATACTATATTCTCCAATTCTGGATTGCTGCTTCTGCTGTTCATGAGTTTCTGTATCTCCTGGCAGCACTCAGAAATGTAACAAACGCTGTCACAGGTCATATATCATAATGTCCCGTAATTGTTCAATTATGTGCCATACACCTTACTGGAATAGGACAGTGAGAAGTTCTTACTGAGTCCCCAGTTTCTAACAATAACACCTAGCGAAATTGTAATCAGTAGTTTACAGGACTCTGTGTAGCCATGTAATTTCCAATATAACAACCAATACAGCAATTTTCCGACATGTATTGCTAACTGCTAGCATAAAAGATATGTGGAATTGCTGCCATAGAAAAGTACATTTAGAAGTAGCAAGAGAAAAAAACAGTTTCCCTGTACATCTTATAACTATAAAAGCAATTCTGTTATGTATAAAAACGTAAACCAAAGAGCTATATGAATAATCGGGAGTGGAAACAGCATTAAGAGTGAGTTACAAAGTTCTGGTTTCACTCCATTTTTACAGGCTGGCAACAGTAGCATAAGGTAGGGCCAGAAGTGGAGAAGTATGATGATGAGGAGTGTGTTGATCTCCTTATTAAGGGACAAACAACTAAATTATTTAATTTGAACATTACGTAACTCTAATACAAAAGCAGTCAGAACCTGAGCTTAACTGCACCCTATGGCTCCATGCGGTCTAGTGCCCTGCCTTTCAAAATGGCGGATGACCTTTGTTCTCTGCAGTCCCATCCCACTACCCTACACAACAGCGATAGCCACTCCATTCAGCGAGGTGGAGGGGGTGTTTGGGTTCAAGTTCTGCACGTTTGTTAAATTCTGTTACCCACAGCAAATCCTAAACTGTGTTTCACCTGCCCCTATTTTGATGGTTAAATAGAAGTTCCCAGCTTGCTGATTCTATGTAGGGGGCATCATAGCTAAACCACAAGAGTTAGAGATGGAAAAGATCAGTGAGATCATTGAGCTATCCTTCAGCAAGGACACATAACCTATGGCTTCATTTTGTATATGATCTGCTTTAGGGATAAAGTTTTACATTTGCATCTGCACAGATTTGTGGTGTGACATTCACAATCCAGCAGCTGAGATGCAACAGAATAAAATAAAACCCAAACCCTTAGCAGAAAAGTGAAATTATTTTACAGTTTAGAAGCTTCCTCAGCTCTGTGGACAGATC